TTCATCTAGGACAGTGTTTCTCAACCTTGACAATTTTAAGGCATGTGGACTTCAACTCCCAGAATTCTGTGAGTTGAAGTCCACATGCCTTAAAATTGTCAAGGTTGAGAAACACTGATCTAGGAACTGTTCAGAGACCAGGTACCAAACTGTGAAGAAGGGTTTTTCTCTTCCTAACACTGAAACGGAATACTGAATCTGTTCTTTGCTGTCCTGCCTTCTGGAGAGGGGGGGGGGGATTTCTTTTCCTGTCCTGTGACAACCTCTCAGCTCATACCTAGGTCTACCTGCAGTTTACAACAGTGACCATAATACGATCCCACTGTGAACATTACAAGCCCTCAGGCAGAGCAATACTCGGAAACTGTCATAGTTAACCACCAAAGCTGCTGCTGCTGCTCCTGCTGCTAAAAGGGGAGCCAGCCTGTCTCTCTCTCTCTCTCTCTCTCTCTCTCTCCTTCCCCCTCCGTGCGAGGCTGCAGCTGTGCGGGAAGGAAGAACGGGAGCCAAGGAGAAAGCGGGTCACTCACTGGAGCATATGAGAGACATGGCGCGCAGTATAATCCCCCCTTGGATGTTGCAATATTACAATCCTCGGTTTAATCCTTATGGCTGCTTCAGGGGCCACGAGGCCAAGGAGGAAGATTCGCCTTCCAGGAGTCCACCTCAGCTTTTTTTAAAACACCACCACACCTCAGGCCATGAATAGCATGCGAACCTCCAGCACAGGCCGGAAGCGGAATTTCTCCTCTCTCTCTTTCTCTTTCTCAGGTCCCGTTAGACCTGAGTCAAGCATGCGCACTGCCCTCAAGCAGAACTGTTAGAGGGCCGTATTAAACCGGAACGCGGGCCGCAAATGGCCCGCTGGCCGGACTTTGGACATGTCTGAGCTAGACAGTCACTTGTATGAGATGGTATAGGTCCTCCTGCTTGAGCAGGGGGCTGGAGTAGAAGACCTCCAAGGTCCCTTCCAGCTCTATTCTATTCTGAAGTTACTGATCTTTATGCCAGTGCTGGGTTTTAAGCCCACATCTGGTTTTTTGGATCCCTGACAGGGTTTCTACATTTTTTATTGTAAAATCTAAGCTTTTCTACACATTATTTTATATTGTATGCATTATGTAGGTAAAAATAATTTAGTTTGAACCTGATTTATTGTGGGCGTTGTTATTTGAGATTTTTGTGTAGAATCTGGGTTCATTTGAATGTGAAACTCTGATTAAACAGGTAAAATAATTTAGTTTAAAATTTTTGTGGTAGGTTTTTTGTTTGTTTATTGTCTGGTGTTTTGGGGTAGAATCTGACTTTATTTGAGCAAACGACTTAGATTGTGTTTAGGAAATCCCACTGGCAACTCTGTCCTCTATTGCCTTCGCTCAGTGGTGGGATTCAAATATGTGAACAACCGGTTCTCTGTGTGGATGCCACTTCCAGAAGTCCGTTCTGGGCCTGGGCAACAAAAAATTAGCTACCGGTTCTGCCGAAGTGGTGCGAACCAGCTGAATCCCACCATTGCCTTCGCTTCAACTCCTTTGTCTCCATTGTAGATTATATAGCAAGAGAACCACATTTGCCTGTGGAAGCAAAAAATGTATTTTGCTTCACCACTCATAACACTGGAAGCAATTTTGGTGATCACCAAAGTGGGATCAGAAGGTATTTATAGGTCATTTTATGTGGATGGGATATCCCACCACTCCTGATTGGCACCTGGAGTAGAAAATTTCATTCCAGTTTAGTTTTCTGACAACTTCCGGCAATTCAAGAATGAAGTGTAATGAGTGGAAACCCCCCCCCTCTACCTCTAAGGGTAGCTATATGAAAAATCCTGTTTTGTTTAGGCAATACATTACATCCAAACTTCTTATGCTGTTTCAGGAACTACCTGGATCAGTGAGATTATGGGCATGATCTATAAAGAAGGCAGTGTTGAAAAATGTGCACTTGAACCCATCTATGTGCGAGTCCCTTTCTTGGAATTTGCTATTTCTTGTCTTCCTACAGGTAAAATCATAGGAATCCTCCTCTCTAGAAAGCAATTTGGTAGGGGGGATAGAAGTGGAAGTCTAGCCTTTATGATGTGGATGTAGGAGAATGAGTGGCATAACCTGGCGGCGGAGTCAAAAGAGGAATCAGCCTAGCATCTCTACATAGCCACAAATGAACTAAGTCCAACCCTTCTTGAATTCTGTTGACTTTTATCTAGTGCCAATATAGTGCTAACTATTAGATTCCTGTGCATAGATGTATGAGTGATAAATCAGTTTAATTGGAACTTCATGTGTGGTCCTAGTGTGGTCCCACATGGCATTGGAATAGAAATGCCAACTGTGGAGATGAGGGAGGATGCAAACCATATAATCTGGGCAATTTGCCTGCAGACAACTTTGGAAGCTTTTCTTAATGCTAGCTAATGATTAGAAAACTCATGATACCTTGGGTCATCTTTCTTTCCACATATAATACAGACTGGCAGCATTTCCTCTTCCCTTATAACCACAGAAGAGCTCCGATGAAGCTGTCTCCTCCTCCTCCTCCTCCTCCTCCTCCTCCTCCTCCTCCTCTACATAGTCTGGCTGCCATTTTGCTGGGGTAGGGGGAAAAAAGGAGCTGCAGATTGTAAGGTAAATTGCACTTCTGCTCCCTGTTGCGGCATGTTCCCAAGAGCCCCCCTCCCTCCATGGAGGAAGAGTGTTCACCCATCAACTGCCAGCACCCCCTCCCCCAGATAGGCCTACTTTGCCAGCAGGCATTTGAGTCATGCCCTCGTCCTTCCCTTGCCAGCCACTGACAATAAGAGATTTCAAATTTCAGCCTTGGTTTCAAAACAGCCAAATGCTGCTCACCCATCTAGCCTTGCCAGCATCTGACTGGGTGCAGAGGCCACAGAGAGGTGGGGAAAGGGCATGGATGAGTTCAAGTCTTGCCTTAGCCATGAAAGCCAGCCTAGTGACTTTAGGCCAGTCACTCTCTCTCAGCCCAACCCACCTCTCAAGGTTGTTGTTGTGGGGAAAATAGGAGAAAGGTGTGTTGGATATGTTCACCGCCTTGAGTTAACTGTAAAAATAATAAAGGCGGGATACAAATAAATAAATATCTATATTAGGGGATCTGTAGGCTAATTCATCCAGAATGCATCTGCTTTGGATAGGCTAATGATAGAGGCAGGATGGAAATGTCACTTCAATTATTCTTTTTCCCTTTCCAGGCCTTGAATTGCTCAAGGAAGCACCACGTCCATGTCTAATTAAAACCCACCTTCCTGTCCACCTGCTCCCCAAATCTTTCTTGGAAAAGAATTGCAAGGTGAGAAAAAAGATGTGACTGTTAATACATGAAGAACCAATAAACTGAATGCAAGAATATACAGGTAGTCCTTGTCTTACAGCCAGATCTTTAATGACTTTTCAAAATTATGATGGTGCTGAACAAAGAGACTTGCTTTGCCTGAAGTTATCATTGTTGCTGTAACCCCATGATCATGTGATGGAAATTTGGGCCTTGTGGTCCACTTATCTTTCAAATGCAGAGACACTGCAAATGCCCCAACTTGCCTATCAATCAGAATAGAACTGGAAGGGACCTTGGAGGTCTTTTAGTCCAATCCCCTGCTCAAGCAGGAGACCCTATACCATTTCAGATAGATGGCTGTCCAGTCTCTTCTTGAAAACCTCAACCTCAAGCACCCACAACTTCTGAAGGCAAGCTGTTCCACTGGTTAATTGTCCACACTGTTTGGAAATTTCTCTTAATTTCAGATTGCTTCTCTCCTTGATTAGTTTCCATTCATTGTTTTTTGTCTTGCCTTCTGGTGCTTTGGAAAATAAGATGACCCTCTCCTCTTTGTGGCAGCCCCTCAGATACTGGAATACTGCTATCATGTCCCCTCCAGTCCTTCTTTTCTCTAGACTAGCCAAACCCAATTCATGCAACGTTCTTCATATATTTTTGTCTCCAGGCCCTTAATCATCTTAGTTGCTCTTCTTTGCACTTTTTCCAAAGTCTCAACATCATTTTTGTAATATGATGGCCAAAACTGGATGCAGTATTCCAGGTGTGGACTTATGAAGGCTTTATAAAGCAATACTAATACTTCACGTGGTTTTGATTCTGTGCCTCTGTTTATACAACCAAGGATTGTGTTACCTTTTTTGCCTGCTGCTGCACATTGCTGGCTCATTTTTAAGTGTTTGTCCACTAGAAGTCCAAGATCCCTCTCACAGTTACTGTTTTTGTATCCTATCTCTCTGCACATCTCAGCCCCCACCTATTCCACCAGCGCATTCAGAACTGACACAGTCCTAGAAACCTTAGTCTGCTCCTTGCCCCCATCAGGCTTGGGAAGCCTTCTGAGTTACATGCTTGCATATGCTGCAAGGTGGCCTCGGTGGGAAGGCTGTCTCTTGTAGATGCTGGGCATGCTTGTCAACAGTTACAGAAAAATTGCAGAGATAAGTGGAGCAATTTGCCTGCACTAGTGGCCCTATAAGAGTTGAGGCCTCCTGTACCTGGTGTGGTGGGGACAGGCCCTGGCAGCCCAGGCTGCAACAGGTTTCTGTGCAGTGTTGGGCCCTGTAACCCATGGAGGCCTCCCAGGCTACAGTAGGCTTCTACATGTTGGTGCCCTATAGTCCACAGTTTCTCAATCTTGGCAACCTTAAGATGTATGGACTTCCACCCCCAGTATTCCCCAGCCAGCATACTAGGAATTGAAGTCCATACATCTTAAAGTTGCCAAGGTTGAGAAACACCACTGCAGTCTATGCTGGACCTCAAGAGTCTTCTCCCCTCCAGAGGCACACCTGCACTTTGCTTAAAGAATTGCACTTTGCTTAAAGATCTCAAGTGGGAGTGCCAGGATTGCGATTGTTGAGCCAAGCAGTCACATGGGCGTCTCACTTAACCATTTTGCACAACAACCGAGATTCCAGTGCCAATTGCAGTCATAAGTTGAGGACTCCCTGCATTGGAGAAAGCCCTTCCACTTGTCCTTTCACATTTTATCTTCGAAATGAAATACATTATACAGATCAGCTTAGTTAGCCTTCTCGTTTGTCCCTCGACAGATTATCTATGTAGCCAGAAATGCAAAAGATGTGGCTGTCTCGTTTTATTACTTCTACAAAATGGCAAAACTGCACCCGGAGCCTGGAACATGGGAGGAATTTCTGGAGAAATTTCTGGATGGGAATGGTAAGTGGGTAGTAAACCTTTCAAAGGCATTGAGCCTGGATATTAGCCCTCCTCAGTTCAAGGTGCAGTATGATAGTGATCCTATTACCTGCAGCTAGCAGAGCAAATTATGGGGATGGCTTAACGCTTCTTAGGGCACCATTGTGGGGCAAGCTGCTTGAGGTGTTCTACTACTGATGGGTTTCACAGCTTGAAGTTCTGTGAATGGGAAGGTCAGATCTGGGCCTTCTTCTCCTTACCCATTCCTTTTTAGCGGGCAGATAAGTTCACATAAATATATGGTTCTTTGTATAAAGTTTGACTACCAACTTCTACTAGAATCACTAGCTCTGTTTCATGCTCCTGATGACCGAACCAAAGTAAGTAGTAAGCAAACTGTAGTTTTCTCCACGTTCTTGCACTAAAATTCCCATCATTCACAAGCATTATTTCTCTTTTCAGTGTCTTTTGGATACTGGTACGATCATGTCAAAGGTTGGTGGGACATCAGGGAAAAATACAGGATTCTGTACCTCTTTTATGAAGATATGAAAGAGGCAAGACTCTTTCTGCTCCTTCTGTTAACATTGTTATTCTCTGCTACTCCACTGTCCACTTCTTCTCCCCACCTTAAGAATTAGATATGAAGTCTAGACCTTCTCCTGTTCTCCTAGTCTAAGTCTTGCATACATTTTCTTTTCTTTTTTTTATAACAAGTTTTATTGGTTTTTTAACTTTTACAACAGAATGCTCAAGACACACCATGGTGGTTAGGTGATCAATCATCCAAAAACAAAGTCATATAAATACATTAAATGTTCCCTCTCTATTTCCCTCAAATAATATAACCTATTTAACATAATCCATTTCTACATTACATATCTATAAATCCTAATCCTGTTTTGAACTTTATTAATTTACAGTTACCATAGTCCAATTTAATCTTAGATAAACGTATTATCACTTCGGGTATCCCTTCTAAAATACTAATCCAGATATATTCTAATTCATAATCTCATAAATGATTGATTTTATCACAAATCTCTCTTATTTCTTCAGATAGCATTTAAATCTCATTCAAATAATTATCATGTCTAAAAAGAACACACACCTATTATTACACAAAACACCATCTTACTAACTTAACACACTCAATTAGTTGTTAAAGCAATCCGAATTTCTAAAAACCTCTTTCATATCCTTATTCTCATTTCATTACAAAATAATTTTCATACAAATAAACATACTATTCCAAAAAGTACATTCTTACTCTGTTTAACATATATATTCTAATAATCACAAGTTTTCAACTCTAAATCTTAGTCCTTAAATCAATCCATATTTCTCAAAACCTTTTTAATCCATTACATATAATTTTAAATTTCTCTTTTTAGTCTTATTCTGGCTTTCTTTTTATGCCAAGCAGGTTTCCATAACAAAGCCTCTATTTCAGCAAATAGAGCTCCCGTTATTGCTTGTAATGTCATTTGGGCCAGTAAAAGACCTCCCATCCTCTGTTTTTGACGCCTGGCTCCTGTCTGCTGGATAAAACACTCGATCATGTCCAATTTTATAATTAATAGATGATTATCAAAGTTGTCATAATTCTCCAACAGTTGTAATTTCAAGTCCATTTCTGTTAGTTTTGCAATTGTAGATAGTTTAGTTACAATCATTTTCTGGTCATCCAAAGTCTCCATAGGTTGTATGTAAATTAATTCATCTATTGCTTTTTGGTCTGTAGAATGATCAAATAGAGTCTGAAGGTCAGTTTGTAAGTTCACAGTAGAATTTCTGTTTATTATTTCTGCAGTTCTCTCTCTTATTTGGGAACATATTTCCTCAGTAGCTTCATAATTTTTTTCCAGTATGAGTTTACAGTTGAGTTGTAAATATGGTTTCTCCATTTCAACAAGAAATAACTGCAGTTTTAAATTTCTCCACAAGATGTCCTCAGTAAACTATGAAAGTCTCTTCCAGACACCAAGAATGAGATTAGCAAAGTCAAAAAGCTATGAAATCTCTTTTCCGGCTTTTCATAGAGTTGTTGTTTTGTTTTTTTTTCCAAACAATAAAGATTTATCCCTTTAAAAAAATAAGTCCAAGACATAGGAAAACAATATTCTCTCGCTTAGAAGATATAATAATAAAGTTTTATGATAAGGATTTTTCCAGGGCCCCCAAGTAACCAAAAATAAAAATAGTCAATAAAAAGTTTTTTCCTTTGTTATGGAAAGCTCTTTCCCCCAGATAAACAAAGGCAGCTCTTTCAAAGCAGGGAAGTAATTCCAAAAGGCTTTTAACAGGAGAGTAGTTAGGCAAAAAGAGAGAGGGAAAAGTCTCGCCGGGATCATCCACGATAGTTTCTTAATGCTTAGATGTTCTTTTGACTTTCGGCTGGAGCAGCTAAATGATCGGCCATGTTACTGGCTGATCTTTTCTCCGTCGGCCCTGAGGAGCTGCCTCGGACCAGGGAGGGAGCTGCCTCCTCCCCCCGCAATCAACAAGAGTCCTCCTCATCGGTAGTCACCCCTCCAGGGTGACTTTTCGACCCAATTAAGGGTCTACTGGGAGAGGAAAGGCAGATAATGAAGAGAGAAGCCTCTTCGTGTACCTGCAGCCACTGCAACCCAAAACCGGAAGTCCATACATTTTCAACCTTCATTAATCAAAGATACACATGAGGACCGATCATAAAATGCTGTAAAACATGCCATAGCAGCCATGGCAGCTGTCCTCAAGCTAAATTCCTTCTAATTATGCGGAGAACAATTCCAGTTATGCTCAGGTAGGTTGGAAAAAGAGCCTTGTAGGCGGAAGATTGTGAGAGGCTTAAGTTGATTACATCTCCAAGCCAACTTTATGGCTAAATTGCAGATGATGCCTTTGGGACAATGAGAAAGGAAAAAGATATCCTCTACGATTACTCCCTTCTGGGTGAGAGATAATGTGAGGTTTTGAGTACATGCCTTAGTGCAAAGAATACCATATTTTAATTCATTTACTATCTTGCTATACAGGTAATCCTCGACTTGTAACACTTCATTTAGTGACTGTTCAAAGATACAACAATACTGAAAAAAGGGACTTATGACCGCTTTTCACACTTACGATTGTTGCAGCATCCCCATGGTCACATGATCAAAATTCGAATGCTTGGCAACTGGCATGTATTTATGACGGTTGCCATATGCCGGGATCATGTGATCCCCTTTTGCAAACTTCAGACAAGCAAAGTCAATGGAGAAGCCAGATTCATTTAACAACTATGTTACTAACGTAACTGCACTTAACAACTGTGGCAAGAAAGGTTGTAAAGTGGGACAAAATTCATTTAACGGTTGTCTCGCTTAGCAACAGATATTTTGGGCTCAATTGCAGTCGTAAGTCGAGGACTACCTGTACTTCACCATTCTTCCTAATACAGATAGTCCTCAAGTTACGACCACAATTGAGCCCAAATGTTATGTTGCTAAATGAAACATTTGTTAAGTGAGTTTTGCCCCATTTTACGATTTTTCTGGCCACAGTTGTTAAGTGAATCACTGCAGTTGTTAAATTAGTAACATGGTTGTTAAGTGAATCTGGTTTTCCCATTGACTTTGCTTGTCAGAAGGTTGCAAAAGGTGATTATGTGACCCTGGGACATTGCAACCGTCATAAGTATAAGTCAGTTGTCAAGCATCCAAATGTAAATCACGTGACCCTGGGGATGGTGCAACGGTCATAAGTGTGAAAAACGGTCATACGTCACTTTTTTCAGTGCTGTTGTAACTTTGAACGGTTACTGAGTGAACTGTTGTAAGTCGAGGACTGCCTGTAGTAAAAGTCCTGGCTTTCAGTACTTGATTATTGCTTTGTACACAGGATCCAGAACAAGAGATTCGGAAGATAATGGAGTTCCTAGAGAGGCCAGCTGATGAAAACTTAGTCAAGAAAATTGCACACCACACTTCCTTCAAAGAGATGAGCCAGAACCCAATGGCTAATTATACAGGCGTTCCCATTTCGTTTATGGATCACACCATCTCTCCTTTCATGAGGAAAGGTGAGCCTTTCAAATAACCAAATTGGGGTTGGATGAGGTTTGTATCTCTAATGCTCATAGAAGGACGAAATAATAGTGCTGCCTTCTCCTGCCTGACAAGCTCAGTATGTGTTAGATTTGCAATTCCCAGCTATCAGGGCTAATCGCTGTGCTGATCAGGGAATATGGAATTAGAGGTCAAAGTTTCTGCTTCTAATATCAGCACCTGAGGGAAGGTGGGATAAAGGTCAACAATAATTGCAGCATGGAAATGTAATGTTGTTGCAGGCAAATAGGGTCCTTTTTATACATGTTACAGGTACAACAGTCTTCACCAACCTGGGCAGCCTGCAGATATGGGGGCTTCATGACTTTCCAGCAAGAATGACCATGATTAACAATGCAGTACAATGGCTTGGGGAAGATTAACATGGGCCATTCTCAGAGAAGGTTGTGGCTGGGCTCTTCAGCAACTAGATGGTTCTCTTATTATTATTATTTTATCCTTTTCCTGGGGATTTCACTGCTTCTACAGGGATCTCCAAATAGGAAACAATCCTAATCAAGATGAAAAAAAAACATATGGAGCAAGAAATTGTGATTGTGCCTGCCTTGTGCTGGCTTCTGCATTCTCCCAAATACACAGTAATGTTGTACATCAGCCTTTTATTTCCCCTCTGCCTATTTTCTGCTAATTTTTCTCTCCAGGGAACATACTGTATGTTATGGACCCAACCTTATTTTATCCAGTTTTAAATATAGTGATGTTGAAATAGAAGATAATATATGTTATTTAGTTGGGTAATGAAAAGTCTGCAAGCAAACAACCAAGCCCAAAGACCATCAAAGTTTCCATAATTGAACTGTGAGTTGCATATTGTATATTGTTTTCTATTGCAACATCACTACATTTAACATGTTACCTAGTTGATTAATGAAATACCTGCAAGCAAACAAGCTCAGCAAGTACTAAGGACTCCACAGTTATGTTGACTATTATTTTTCCCTCAACTTAGGAGTTGCTGGCGACTGGAAAAACCAGTTCACAGTGGCACAAAATGAACATTTCAACGAGAATTACAAGATGCAAACGAAAGGAACTACATTGCAGTTTCAAACAGATATATAATTGTTGTTGTCCCCCCTCCTTGACTTTCCATTTTCTTACTCATAATTAAAATAATCCTACACATTTTGTATATGTGCCTGGAATGTAGGTCAGTACACTGCACATGCCTCCTAGTTAATAAGATATGTCCAACAGTAAAGGCTGTCAAGGTAATCTCTAAATTATAGAATAGAATAGAATAGAATAGAATAGAATAGAATAGAATAGAATAGAATAGAATAGAATAGAATAGAGCTGGAAGGGACCTTGGAGGTCTTCTAGTCCAGCCCCCTGCTCAAGCAGGAGAACCTATACTGTTAAGTCCTGGGAATAATGGCGCTTGAGACGATTCATCTCCAACAAGTCTTTATTGTTTGCTCCACTCTCGAACAACCAGAGCAGAGGCACGCAGGCCTCTATTTATACCCTCTGATCCCCGGGCAAGTTCAACCAATCATGAGGCGGGCTTTTCCCGCCTTGCGCATGCGCACAAGGCTGGCGCCGCTCAGTCTGGTCCCGGGCAGCTTCTGCAATTGCCCAGGACTCTTGCAACGTCCTGAGCCTGCATCTTGCAGGCTCAGGACACAACACCCCTTTCCCCTGGATGAAATAAGATTGCGCCCACATGGACGCCATCCTATAGATGGTAATATAATTAATAATGAAATAAAGTTACACAATGTATAAGGTGTGGGACTGTTTCTTTGAACCAGAACCAGTGACCCCCCCGACCTTGTTTTATTTAAATACAACCCGCCAGCACATTCAGTCAGCTCTTGCTATATACCTGTTCACCTTACGTAATCGGCTAGGTATTTGGGAGGGCCTCTTGCCCTGAGTGACCTTCTCAGACCTGGAAAGTTTGTATTGTTATTCCCATGGCCGCTTGCTCTAGATGAAGTGCTCTGTGAATGACCAGTGACTTCAGCTTGGCTTTCCAGCCCATCGCCTGTAATTGAGCAGTCCGGGCCCTATTGGTCACTAAACCTGGTTGACCTACCCTCCATGGAGTTATCTAACCCCTGTGAGTTCATTCCCGTATTTCCTGAAGGAATGTGGGATTCCTGGCTCGTTTCTGTAGTGCTAGGGACTAGGGATGCCTCCCTGTTAGCCCTAATGCGTGAGGACATCCTCCTCTGAGCCCTTTCAGCAAGGGACGTGTTTCCCCTTTGTATTGCCTGCTCTCTTGCATGTTGTGAGTTGTGAGTATGCTCCCAGGTATTCTCCGTGTCTGGAGTAT